TTTTTTTTTTTTTTTTGGTAAATAAGGTGCAACTGTTCTTTGATTTGGGTTGTATTTGATGAATGCTTCTGCTTAAAAATCTTGGAAATAATAAATGGAGATGAAAATTTGTGATAATTATACACTCATTTAGTATTTTCAGATATTTAGATTGTACTGTTTGGACTGGAAGACAGTTTCATGGGGGATTAGTAGCTTTGGCCCAAAGAAAAAATGGGGGAATAGTAATGTGTAGGGCATTTCTAATCTTTATTTTGTGAGAAATTTAAGCTAAGTTTAGGAAGCAAAATCTTGGGGTTCAATCGGGGCATTTCTAACCTCTTTATAGTGCATCAGTTGCTATAGTTTGAAGGTGTTATAGTTTGTGCATTATTATATTTCTCTGTATTCTGCCATTTTAGAGGACATTTGATGAATAATTTAAATGGTAGCAGAGATATCCAGTTCCAAATAACAGCGTTATTGCTTCTCCTTCTGTCGCTTCAGCAGCTTCAACATATATTTTGATGACAATCTTTCTTTACTTAAGAAGACTCCATCTACTTATAAGTGCAGTAGTCTTCATGTGCTTTGTTCAGTCATGATGTCTTTTTGAGTTTTGGCATCAAATTTGAAGTTATCTTTTATTAAATTTACTCTTCTCTTTGTTTTCAGCGCCGCTTCATCCTTGTTCATTTTTGCAGCACCTAAAACGGAAAAGCACAGCTAGCAAGAATGAAGTTGAATCTAGCCAGTGGACTGCCAGTCCAGGTTTTTCAAACTTGTCCAACAGTCCCTGCCAAACACCTTTATCTTCTAAGGGGGGAAGGACAAACAACAGGTCAAAGGCATCAAAGGGCTATGGAGCAACTCCTCAAACTCCTGTGTCAAATGCTGGTCAGAAAATTTATTTACTCATCTACTTTTATGTCTTCTGTTTGTTTTATCTTGTGCACACGAGTGAAAGTCCTATGACAAATGGTATAATTTAGCTCCATAGCAGCATACATGAATTGAGTCTTACATTAACTGCACTTAACTGAGCAAAGTCAAATATTAATTAGATGGAAGAAGAAAATTAGAGGAAAAGGAGAGTACTGATGAGAAAATTAATGGTACTTTACAGGTTCCCCTTCCACTCCCACTCCTGCTGGCAGCTGTCGTCATGATAGTTCTTTAGGTAATCCTATTATTGTTCTTTAGTTTTGACATTGTCTTGTTAGCCCTTAAAGATTTTCATATATGGCACAGCGGGTGGTAATATGGTAGATTGTTTCAGTTGCTTTGACAGAAAAGTTTGTCAATCTAATAAGCCAAGCTGAAGATGGTATGCTTGACCTCAATAATGCTGCGGAAACTTTAAAGGTGATCATATGTCTAAGTGGCTATACTCTAGTAGGTTTTGTTGAATCTGTTCACATGCATATTAAAGAATTCATTTGTTTTCTAAATGTTATAATAGGTACAAAAGCGGAGGATATATGACATAACAAATGTCCTGGAAGGCATTGGTCTTATTGAAAAGAAGCTCAAGAACAGAATACATTGGAAGTAAAATTTTCATGATAACATTTTTATATTTAATTTTTGATTCTTGTAAACATCTAGAGAATGTGGGTACTTATGGTATTGATCATATTGACTAGGGGACCTGATGCTTCGAAGCCAGGGGAACTGGATTGTGATGTCTCCCTACTAAAGGTATGTGAGTGAAAGTATTACTGGCTTCTAATTATTTAGATAGCAGGAGAGTTTCACTCTTATGCCGCATTTTATTGAATCAATCAATTTGCAACTTTCCACAGAAAATGTCAGCCACTGTTGGGTCACCAAATATATCTAATTCTCTGTTATCCATTGCTAGAAAGATGATAATTGTGGGGAAATAAATAGATAAACAAAAAAAAAAAAGAGGAAAAAGAAAGAAAATAATACTTTGTTGTAGTTTCTTTTCTTTGCCCAGAGGATTTACTTTACAGATATTTGCCATCAGGTAGATGTTGAAAACCTGTCCTTGGAAGAGCACAGAATAGATGATGAAATAAGGTTTGGTGGCTTATTCCCTTCCCTTCTCACAGAAACTACTATTTTGCTCACTTGAACCCGTCCAAAGATGACAAATTTTTAACTCTTGCAGAGTAATGCAGGAAAGACTGAGGGAACTCAGTGTAGATGAGGACAACCAGAAGTAAGATATTCTCCTCTATCTTGTTCTGATCCAGTTAATATTCAGATGTTCACAGTAATACCTTTGTTCATCATCCAAATGTATCAGGTGGCTTTTTGTAACTGAAGAAGACATAAAGGGTGTACCTTGTTTTCAGGTCAGTTTTTTCTGTTTGAAACCATACCTAATTAGGTACTTTATGGTTTTCTCCTGTACTTCTAGAATGATGAGCTTCAAGACATATTAGCTTAGGCCTGTTTAGTAACATTGTTATTTTCAGTTTTAGTTTTTGTTGCCAAAATTTAAATGATCAAAGTTGACAATTAAAAACCAAAATTATATTTTTTTTTAAGTTTTTTCTTTTTTTTTTTTTTAATTTTAATCTAGTATTGTGAAATTTATGGCAACAAAAACAAAAAACTGACAACAGCAACATTACAAAACAGGCCATTAATGTATTTAAACTGTTCTTTTGTTGTTACTGGCAGAATGAAACCCTTATAGCAGTTAAGGCTCCACACGGAACTACTCTGGAAGTCCCTGATCCTGATGAAGTAAGTTCGAAGCTGAGATATCTGAAGTGATTTTAGTAACAATTACACTTTTCCTATTTTCCATGCATGATGGCATTGACATTGTTCCTATTTGCCAGGGTATTGACTACCCTCAGAGGAGATACAGGATAATTCTTAGAAGCACAATGGCTCCTATTGATGTTTACCTTGTTAGGTATTGTTCCCTTCTTTGATGCTAAATCATCTATCTGTGCACACAATGAGTCATCTTTGTTTTCCTTTGTCAACTACTTGACATGATTGTCAAATCAGATGATCCAAATATGATCATTTTTTTAATTTTCTTCTCTTATTTCTATGTTTATAAACCGTTGGCTCTAGTCAATTTGAGGAGAAGTTTGAAGAAATGAGCATAAGTGGGGTTGAGCCACCTTCGAGTTTCCCACATGCTTCTTGTTCAGGCTCTGATGAAAATCAAGTGGAATCAGTCACTCTGGAGAGTGTCAGAAAGGATATTGTTTCCCAGGCACAACAACATGCTCATGAAATGGGTTCTGACCTTGATGGTTCACAGGAATTTGCTGGGCAGATTACGAAAATTGTTCCTTCGAATGATGTAAGTATCATAATTTTTCATTACTCATTGCTGTAGCCAAATGTTATAAAGATACAATGAACATATAGATAACAACATGGATTTGGGAAAACAATATTTAATAAGTTAAGTTAGTAAGGCACGAACAATATATTCCTGCAGAAAAGTTTGAAAGAGGATGCTAATAGTCGTTCATATTGTGTTTAAAGTATACATTTCAAGTGTAGTTTATCTCCTATCACGTAATTAGTTGTTAAGATGTCGCAAGAAATAGCCAATTAAATACATTTCATGACTCAACACTTGCAGATATGTATGTATGTATGTATGTGCATGTGTAATCTTCTTCGCATTAGTTTGAAATACTTTATCTAAATAGAAAGAGGGAATGTGCATTTATTCTAGATGCTAATATCCAAAAATTTTCAGGCTGCATTTCTGATAAATGTAAAAATGATGTTATGGTCAGTCATCCTTTTTCCGGTGGATGTGTTAACTGACTGGACATCTATTGTTTCTGTTTGCAGAATAATGCAGATTATTGGTTTCTATCAGAAGATAGTTTTAGCATAACAGATATGTGGAAAACAGACTGTATCCTACTTCTAAAACTTATTTCCTTCATTCTTCCACATGGTCCTGCATAGTAACGACACACACGTGCATACATTTTTCCTTAAAAATGTACAATTCTTAACTTCAGCCATAGCAGGCGTTGAGTGGACTGAGGAAAACATGCTTAGCACCGACTTTGTAATGGCTGATGTCAATACCCCTAGGCCACAAACTCCGCCATTTACACATGCTGACGTGCCATCTACTGCTGTTAACTTTAACTGAAGGTAAAATCAATTTGCTTACTGAGACAATTTGAGAATTTCAGCAACGCCAATCCTTCTGATGCATGTACCAGTGCTTAGGGATGCTGAGGAGTTTCTTCATTCATGTGCATTGGAGAGGATGGATAGTAAGCTGAGAATTCTTCCAATTGCCAACACCATTGAGCAATTTCTGAACCATCATTTAGTTACCAATAAAAGTGTTGCCATCATATTCTGGGCAAAAGGGTGGATATCAAAGATGGAATAAGTGCAATGGATGTCTTACCAGTATAAACACATGACTAAACCTGCATACAGACTGTAGCTGTCTTTTGCTTGAAATATGGTAGCAATCAACTAGCTATTCCAACCCTAGATTTGCGGACTTGGTGCACTGGATAGTATGATCACTGAGATTCCATGCCTTAGGTTCCATTCATCTGATTTTTTTTTTTTTTTTATTGAGTTTGGGAAATATTTAGGGGAAGGGGAAGTCATCTGGCGAAGTTCAACTCAGGACTTTGAAGTCTCTAAGCTCTTTGGCCGCTTAGAGAATGGACTACTAGGCCGAGCTGGCCGGTTCTCAACTTCTCATTTGATTGTATGTTGTTAAGAGTTGGTAGACACATTATACCATCATTATTACAGAACTGTGCTGAATTTCTGAGCCATGTTAAATTCCTGTATCTCATAATCACATTTAATGCTTGAGTTTAGATATTTTAGTTTGGATATACTTTGGCATTTAATGCAAAGCACAGTTCTAAACTTTTCCTTAAGTTACATGATATAACTAACATGTCGATATTATTATCACATCTTTAAATACTAATATTATACTTTTTTATTTTAAATGATTATTATATTTTTTAATTTATTAAGAAACAAAAGAAAAATAATTAGTATATATTCAATTTAACATATTTTTTAATATATTTTTTATTCAATCATTAAAAATATAATATAAAATTATAAATATAATTAATTTAGTTAGTTTCTGTTTTTTATATGTATGATCGTATCTTTAAAGTTATTTATTTTTAATTTCAGATAAAAAAATAATGATTGAACAAAGTGTGTATTAGTCATAGTTTGAAACAAAAAGATGTAAAATTTTAAGAAAAAGTGTAATGTAAGAATATAATAAATAATTATATTAAAAAGTATAGTATTAACTATTTAAGATGTAATAATAACCCTACTCTCACCAACATTAAGTAAACAATTTTGATTTTATGATCAAGGCCAAGGCTTCAAATATACTGACTTGGTACCTATTAATTAAAAAATTTTGATTTTGAGATTAATGCCAAAACTTTAAGTCTAGCAGTTATCTTTTGATGTACAAAAAGAAAGTCATATGATACAACCAATAAAGATTTAACTGAGTTGATATCTAGTAATTATATTTTGATTTTGATTTTAAGAATAAGACTAAGGGTTCAAATCAAGAATCCAGGTTCTAAATGTACAAAAAGAAAACCACATGATATAGGTGCAAATAATCTGCCAGACAGCTCGCGGACATTCTGAAATTTTACATAGGGCGTCCGGTTCAGCACCGGCAATGTCACCATCAACCCTAGATTTGTTCACAGGTGATTAGTGGTGGCCCAACAAATTAGGTTTTTTGTTAGAACATGTACTAATGTTTCTGGAGAACAAACAGCAGTACAACAACTACATTATTAATAATACTGATGTTTTTATTACCAAAAACAAAAAAAATAATACTGATGTTTAATGTCAGGGTTACAAAAGTCCACAAAATACGAAAGTTGTTATTTGGGAAAAGTCTACAGTGGGGAAACGAAATATGAGAGGG